TATTGAAATTGGAAATGTGATTAATAGGGGCGAGCCGACACGACAAAATCAGTTGGCCCGTTGAAAACGTAAAATAACGTTCGTTAAAAAACGTAAAATTTTTAACTTAACGACGATAATCGTTTTTAATAAATGTGTGGCGTTTATCTCAAAACTAAGGCAAGCCCATTTTTGGAGACAATGAAGAGAGTGGTACCTACGAACAGATAGATGAATAGACACATCTCCCTCTCTTTACAAACATCGCTTTAAACGCTAGGGTGCAAGCCCGGCTAGCTATTACATAGTAATAGAATGCAAGAAACAAAATAAATCAAAGGAAGGGCCCCAGTTTTGATGTCTTATGGCGATGCCGATGTTCCAAAGTTCCTCTTTTATCTCTTCATATAGATTACAAAGCGGGAATAAACTTATTTCTTTCCTTCTTCTTTGTTTTTCATAATTAATTGAAAATTTTACGTATATTTATACATCGTTCAAGCGTATATTAAGTTTGTGCGTATATATGCGATACTCAGAAGGCCTTGTGATAAACCAATCAATCAATTCAGAATATCGCTTTCTAAATCGATCTTAGCTTTTATGTCCTTATATTCCTTTTATTTGCTTTTGTTAAACTTCGAGAACACAACTTTTAAGGTGTTTTGACGAAAGGATTCGACCTGTCAGCACATAAGGCCTTATTTTGAAAAATCGTTATTTGCCCTAGAATAGGGTGACGCAGAGTGCTTAATAGGGGCCGCGATCCATTACGGAGTTTTTACTTGTTTTGATGAACATTTCAGAAAAACGTAGTTATATTAAATAACGTCGCTTCGGCCTGCATTTACAGTTTGTTTTATTTAATTACAACTCGACGGAACGTATGATTAATTAACTTACGGAAATATTCATTTTAAGTTACACAGATCAATTGCCTTGAGCGGCGTATGACTAATAAATTTATTTATAAGCAAATATTTTTATTTCACCTTGATCCTAACACGTATTGAAAAAAAACAATAAAAACAATTAATTTTGATATCATCACAAATATTTCTCACGAATATATATCATTTGCGTTTTCACTTGGCTTGAAAAAAAAACCTAATACGATCTCCTTATCTGGAAACAATTTATAATCAACGAAAAAATCAAATTCCTTAATATTTGAGAGATGGATACTACAGCTAGGAACGATATTATAAATATATTTATTCTCAAAAGCGCTGCAAGGTCATGTTAGGTTGAAGTTGACAATATTAATTGCATATTGTAAGTAGAGTATGTATGTATTGAATGAAGACTTTCACAGCTTGCCTAATAATCCAGTTAATATATATAATTGGAGTGAAATATGCGTCCAGATTATCGCAGGAAGTAGCATGTTGCTGTTGCGAACATTTAGAGAATATGACAACCAGAAAGCTCATCATAGCTTACAGCGCAATATGTGCGATGGCGCAAAATACAAACACAAAGTTAGTTTTAACCTGAACGAAAATTGTTCACTCACACGTTGACAATCAATCATATATCATTGATTACAAATTTCTATTTTAAGGGCGTTTACTCTTACCGAGCGATGCCGATTTGGAGTGAAAGAAAGGGCAGTTCGGGAAAGCCAAGATTGCTACAAAGTAGGAAGACGGTTTTCCCAAAAAAAAAAAAAAAATGAACAATATCGATCAAGATACTCTGAATTGGGTGGAAGCATAAGTTGGATCAGATTTATAAATGAATTCTATTATTAAAAAACTTTCCATTTCAATAATGAATATTTGGATTCATTAATTTTGAAAGTAAAGCAATTCGGTTTCTTTTTTTTTAATCAGCACTATTATGTAATGAGCTTACATTATCTAATTGCACAAAATACAAAAGATTTGCCTGTTATTGTCGGATATTTTTAAATCTATCGAAATGCAAGCCTTTAACACTAGAACCACCGATTACGTCAATTTCAACCTTTTTTTTAAAAAAGGTTGAAAAAATTCGTTTCAAGTCATATGATGCTCTAGCATTTCCTGATGTCTTTTACTTGCGCGAAAAGAGCTTTGAATACACGAGGTATGGTAACGCCGCAATTTTTTGCTAAGAGCGCGTACGCGTTACGATGAGCGATTTAATAAATGCAAAAGAAGTCCCAAAATTTTCGAGAAAAAATTAATTTACTACCTTAAGACTTCATCACAAAAACACTTTTACTTAAATATGTTTACGCATGCCTTTATTCCTCCTTCAATGTAAACAGAATTTTGAAAACCAGTTGCACTTCACACATTTTCAAGATATCTTAAATAAATATTTTTAACGAGGTGTTAATCTCAAGGAATGTCAACACTTATATCTGTACATATTTGTGTGTCTATGTTTCCATGTTTTGTGAACGACAACATCAACGCTTATATATGACAAGGGAAAAAGAAAAGAAATAAATGTGCAATGATTGTTTAGATAAATGGGAATCGAACTGCGAACAACATCGCAGAGACATAATAAGTCGCAAGCCATTGGTTCGGTTGTGATTTGCGTGACTTAACCTAACTACGAATTTTCGAGCAGCATCACATCAGCTGTACCGTACTTATTACTATTCGATCTCCTTAGAACAACACTTGAACCGTAGATATCGCAGCTCTCTGCTATATTCCCAAAAATTATGCAAACCAATTGGAAAAATATGTGTCTAGGAAATTGAACGGTGTTCTATTTCCGCCAGTGCTAACTAGAGTGTCAGGTTCCTTGTTGCTTAATAGCGCAGCGAAAGTGAGAAGAAGATTAAGCAAACCGTTTACTGCTTAAAAGCCAAAAATGTTATTACGACCGAAACATTCCAATATGAACAAGTTATATATTTGTACATTTGCACATATTAGCAGAAAGCCGTAGCTAACTTTAGATGACTGCGGAGCATAATTCCTCAGCTGATTTAAACGAACCATTACAACATTGTACATTGGTGCAACATTTACACACAAATGTGTATAAAAAAAGAATTATGAAGAAAGAAAGCGGAAGATGTCATTTGACATGTAGATCATACTTGACCGGTTTTATTGACGGGAATAATCGAAAAATCAAAATCATTATTCATACCTTTAAATCAAATTACGTATGATTGATCAGAATTAGAGTCATACCAATCTATAGTTACTTTAAATTGACAGGAAAAGCATCGAAATTAAACGATAACTTCCGCAGCGTATTCACAATCTATTATCGTCAACTTTGATGGGCTTTCAGTCTGCTGCCTCCCATGTGATTATTGGAAATTTCCAAACCAAATTTATGGGGAGACAAAAATAAAATATTGCACAATTACCAACATTTTGACCGGTCGAAGAAACTGTGATAGCGTTCACCACATTTCAGTGATAAGTCGTGTGAATCTATCTGAAAACCTGTCGATAATCATTTGCAAGAGACTCAGTAGTTGACTGGCACCAGAGCGCTAAACGCCATGCTAAAGTGTTTTGAACAGAATTTGAATCAAAATAAAAACAAGATAAATGCTTAATTACCGTAACAGACGTTATTGACGGCACGATTGCCGCTGCTATCGTTGTTGTTATTGTTATTGTTGTTGTTGCAGACGTGATTGTTGTCCTTATTTTTACGGTTGTTTTATTAAAAAAAAAAGAAGAAAATACTTATCGGCAATCGGTTGTAAGCAGTCCAGCCGTACATTAACACATGACATTGATTAAATGGGCGATAGACAATGTTTAAGCCACTGTATGTGTTCTTACCATTATCGCTAATACTGTTGTTGCAATTCCTAATAGTGTTGCGATTGTTTCCGTCCGTATTACGGTTTCTTTTTACTGTTGGCTTCGTTATGATTTCTGTTTATGGCATTGTTGCACAATATTTTGCTTCAGCTTTACTGGTGTTGTCGCTTTTGCTGCTCATTCCATTCTTAGGTTTAATGTGGCTTTTACTGCTGCTTTTCTTACTGCTTTTATTGTTGCTCTTCTTGTTTCTTTTACTACTCCCTTTATTCTATATTCCTTTTTGCTGATGGTCTTGCTGTGACTTTTTCGATTGCTCATTTGTTTCCTTATGTTATTTATATATAGTTATTTTGTTGTTTATGCTGCTTTTATTTTTTTTCTAGTTTTTCAAATGCTGCCTGATATGTTGTCGTTTACGGTGTTGTTTATGCAGCTGTTAAAAATATTGTTTATGTCATATTTAATTTTTCTTTTTGTTGTCGTTGATTTTGTTTTCATTGTTGTTGTTTGGGTTGTTACTTTCGTTGTTGTTTACATCGCTATTTTTGTGATCGCTTGAGTGATTGCTTTTATAGTTGCTTTAATTGCTGCATACATTTTTGTTTTAATATCTTGTTACGATGACCTTGTCAGCCTCTTCTCCCTTCTGTTTGATTTATCATAATGTTTTTTTCATTGTTTGGCCTCTTGCGACTTCAGTCACAGTTGCTTGTTGCAACTATTTCAGTTACCATTTACTAGTTTACGCACTCTGATCGCTAATCATTCTGTGGTGCTCTCTATGAGTTATTGCGTTGATTTTATTTGCTCGTTTAGAACTTCAGTGTTTTCTTCACTTCTACGGGTGCTACTTGGCACAAACTCATCACGCGTTTTCCAAACCCACCCTGAAAGTTGACGTTTTTGCGTTCCTTCGTTGGGAACAATTTCGTCACGCAACCGTCTCCAAAGATACTGGGATCTTGATTCTCTTTTACCAGTTCCTGCCGTATAGTTTAAATTTAGAAAACAAATAAAAAAAAAAGAAAAAGAAAATTCGCTTACGTGGATCCATGCATTTGCTTTTGTCAGAAATGAAATGTAAATTTGGAAAATTTCACAGCTGTATTTTACTTTTCCTCGGAAATCTTGAAATTCTCTGAAATGCCTTAAATATATGAGAGATTATGTTATTTTTTTTTTTTTTTAGGAATTAAAAAGTTTTTGCTTTGCAAAGAAAAAAGGTAAGTTCGTTAAACGAATTTTTTTCGTAAATATGTTCATTATTTCCGTGTTTCTAGCTATTTTTCGAGGACACATGTTTTCCATCCAATGTGCGTCAGCAAAGAGGGTCAAGTGAGGCGCTCTGCACTCATAACTAAAAACGCGACAAATGGGTATTTAAGAGTTCCCGACTCCGTAACCTTTTTTATCAGTTTCTTCGAATCTTTCATGCAACGAAAATCTGATTTGGGTTATTTAGAGCTGTTACCGGCCAAGCGCATACAACTCATATTTGTGAGTATTACAAACGCAATGCTGATTAAATTACATCTTTCTTTTATGTTAGTCGAGAGTCGGAAAAATAAATATCAAGTAAAGTTGTCTTATTAGAGAAGAATTATACCGACAAGTGATACATGAATCTTCAGGTATCCATTAGTTTCTCCCAACTTTTTTTCGTTTAACTATTTTATACCCATTCTATAGGTTTATAGTCGTAACATCATCTGTGCAATGCAAACAAATATAATAACATAGCGGTGCTCTTCAAAATTCTTATAAAGAATCTTTAGGAAGCGTGTAATAATAGCCGAGGATTATAAAAATGCTTTAGAAAACTGCATAGCTAAGTAGTGCTCTCTTCTGCGGGAAAAAAAAACTGCAGGGTGGAATTGGTCTTTTGTCGGAAAAAAAGAAAACGTAACGTAAACGAAAGTTTTCCAATGAGTGAATCATTCTTTTCACAAAAATTTGATTTTCATTCTGTTGCTCACATCCAAGTTTCCTTTCTCTCCTCTCACATAAAAGGCAAATTCCCCTAAGTGTTAAATTCTTTTCTTCGTCTCTACCAATCATTGCATAATTTAGAAGTGTCGCGAGTAAATAAATTTTTCGCTTCTTACATATTATTGTCAGGATTTTGCATAAGATCCCCGATGCGACTCTTGGTCTTTTAATGGAGACATCTTACCTCGCAAATTTTATTTTACTTGAATGCCTTTTACGCTTTTGCTCTTCTACACTGTAGGAAGAATCAGCTTAATATCGAGAGACACCGACCTGATTTAAATAAATGCAAATGTAAATAAGCGAAATTATTATCGCTTCCTCTATATGTACTCACTTATATTGCATTCTATCAACAGTCAATTTTGAATTTTTGTTTTTCCAGTTCGAAAAAAAAAATTGTATTAAGACGAAACTTGAGAAAAAGAAAAAGGAACGCTCATGATTTAAAAAGAAATTGTGTATGTAACAAGTGTAAAATCGAGCTATAAAATCTGAAAAATCTCAAAAGAAACATAACTTAAAGCACTCCCCCAGACACATAGCTGCTATCAACAACAACCAACAAATTTTTCATCCATAATCAAAAAGCGTGTCTACCAATGGTGAAACTGAGAGTGGCTAACGGAATCTTTGGTTTCCTGCCGGAATTTATGACAAATCTGTCGCTCTCGAGCTTCCAACAACTACCTATATTTTCATAAACTGTCGACTTAATTAGGTAAAAACTAAAAACGATTGTGGTCCGTGGTCTCCCTACAGTAATAGATTAACTGATAAAACATAAGAATTGCATAAGTTCTCTATAAAGGTTTCGCACGGCAATCTCAAGGATAAATAAATAGTCTTGATAGAAATACTTGATATGCCGATAATCGTACATCACGCATAGAAAATTGTTCCCAAACAATTAAGTTGCATTTCATTTATGCGATGAATGTGAATATGAATGTGAAGCTTCAAGAAAGAAACATCAGATCGTATCTATCAATAATAGAATTGTCACTCTGTCACTATGAATTATCTATAGTTCACTTTCTGGCTTCTAGTGAAGAAAAAGAAGAAGCAGAGGAAGGAGAGAAGTGCTATCAATGCTGCAATAAATTTCAATTACCACTGCCGTGCTTCCGTTGCTCAGTGCTTATGTTATAACCCATAAATTTTTGACGATAAATTAAGTTTTTTCTCTAAAAGTAAAATAAAAAAATTTTTCGATTTGAAGATAAACAAAACAGCAGTAATAATAAATAAATAAATTTTATCAAGTTTGTGAAAAAGTGAAGATTTATATGGTGCATGTGTTATATATTATGAGTAATAAGCCAAAAACACGAAAGGCAAAATTGCTCACATTTTTTGTTGCATAGGCTTGTGGGAGTTTCAAGCGTACCCTTTGCCCAGTTTGGGTCATTGTAACAGTGCAGGTGATATCTCCACTATTGTAAGCGTGAGAATGCTTACCACAGGTATTACGCGGTTGGCTAGACGAACAGATGAAGGGACGGACGCGCTTAGATGCATTCCAAATTGTAATCAGGCCAAGAATTTATACACTTTTCTGAAACCTAAAGATGTTTACATGATAATATTTGTGTGTACACTTCCATAAATAACACTAGTGTGTACGCTTTCTTTCATAAACCATAACACCCTCTTATGGTCTTCTGAACACGCACGCAAAGACGTTTGTGTCACACCTTCATACTTTTGCTTGAGCATAAAAAGCATTAATCACAATTTATTGCGCATTTCGATGGTTTACTAGCATCAACTGCATTGTGGACTTACATATGTGCAAGATGTTTAAAAAAAGGGCCAAGGACACACATACCGCATTCACTGCCCAGAACAATGCTTATAAAAATAAGTAGAAATATAATAAACGAACCAGACTCCTTTCCTTGCAGTCTTTTTTTCAGGTGGCGTAGCTACTGCCAGCAAATTCACGTATTTCTGAATTGTTAAAATGTGGATTTGCCACTTTAACCTTACAATGATGATTTGTGTTCAAAACGATATTTAAGAATCGCATGTGGTTTTTCGATCATTTCTTCCATATGTATGCTGATGTTACATCAATAACTGCAAAGGGTTTATCTCTCAGCGAACACTGTCAAGAAGAACTGTTTGATTTGCTATCTACACTAAACGACATTCTTATGATAAGTACGACGGCAAACTTTGTTTTCTATGGCAAATAAAGTACGAAAGAATGCACAGAGCAAAAGCGTAGACAGTTACACATATGTGGATAGACATTTGTAAATACGTTCAGTTTACGCAATGAAACGCCCTACTTACATGCAATTATGTAGCGTAAACTAAAAAGTTGTAGTGTAATCAAAGATATTGCCTTTTCCATATAAGAAATGTGTTTAAATTCTGCCTTTTGGGATATGGAAAAAAAGAAAATATAAGCTTTGTGCTTGCGTCCTTGCAAATCTGTCAGTGACATTATCATCATCATCATCGAGGTGGACATCTTGTAGAAAAGTGAAATGCTAATAAGTTTATAACGTTAGAATCTGTGTCTGCCAATCTTTTAGGTTTACATTTCTGTCGACCTACATATATGGATGCCTGATTGTGCATACGTACATACATATGCATGTGGAACAAGGTAGTCTTAGACTTGAGCGTAGTGAAAAAAAAGAACAGGTTCTTAATATGACTTTTTATGTTTGCACCTACATATAACTTTCCGCGAGCAGCTCCCCTCTTTCACGCCTCTACATAAAGTATGAAACGAATTAATGTACAGTAATATCAACTTCTTTCTCATTGTAGCTAGCATGGAAGTAAAAAATTATATTGAAATTCATTTCTTTCTTCTTCAATTGTTGTTTGTAGTGTTCACTAATACGCCCCAACGAAGACATATATATTTTTAAAGAGAGTCTCTAAATCGGTTTAACTTTAGTCCTCTGACTATCTCTTTGACGATCCCTTTTAAGGCCTTGACAATCAAAAATGTGATATGTTCGCGGAAGGCCTAGTAACAGCCTTATAATAAAGAAAGAGTCCTAGAATTAACATGTATTGGGTTAGAGTATAGATTGACGAAATTTCGCCTCGAAAGGTTGTTACTTTATAAAATAATGTTCTTCTACTTTAGAAGACGTACGTGTTCTTAGCTCACATTACTCTGTTGGCGTAATCTGCGACCGATTTGGCCCGTCTTCAATAGCAATCTGCTTCTGAGATCTTCCAACGTTTCTGTGAAAATCGAAATTGACAAATTCGTTTCTGCGGCCAGGCGTTTCTTTATATGACGCGGTACTCTATGAATTTTTCACAAATTCTGTAGTGCCTTTAAGTGCTTTTAAGTGTATATGAGTTTAAAGGTAGGAACACGAAAAACCAAAAATGGAGTGTCAAATGTAATTCGTTTTCATTTCATCGTTTATATCAACGGTGTAGAGTATTTAACACGCGGTCATGACCCTATATCTTTTCACATGTTTTTATTTCAAATTACAAACCAAAGTTCTTATTCCACCAAGCCGTACAATTCGTGTTTACACCGGTTTATTTCATCAACCTCGTTCCCTCGTGGGTTTTTGAACATAGTGTCATAGTGCATCGAAATTTTTATGTTGTAACGTTGCGGGGAAATTGAAACTCGAATTGCATTTTTCTTTAGAATTTCGTGTATTACACAACACATACTTTGTTTTCCCTATGTAAACGAATGTGTACATCGGGAATATTTAATAAATATTCTGCGTATAACCAAGGTGCCCTTGGTTGTGCTGTTTCCTTATTCTTTCGATGCACTTACGCAGTGATGTGAACATGTACATGAATGCATTCATACCTAATTGTATGGATTTTCTTATCTTTCTCCTTTTTTTCCTTTTGCACAAGTAGAAGAAAAGCCCTATGTTTGTGTATACAAAAGCTTTTCCAGCATATAAGAAACAGTGCCATATGTTCCCAAGTTATTTTCTGTTTTTGCCTTTTCTTCAGCTTTACCATTAGCTCTGTACTGTGTATGTATGCATGTACATGCTTAAATGGTTGTTACGGGCACATGAACATACATATACTCAAGGACTGTGTACTAAAGTCTTCTCATAACAGTTCTATGGTTATGCATGCATCAAACACTAACGAATGTATGTTTATTCATCCAATCTCTAAAGTAATTTGTATATAATTCATGTTTAATAACAATGTATATTGTCCGTCTAACATAGGATGTAAGGGAAAATATAGCGGACGCACATGACCGTTACAACCAAAAAGTGTATGCACTAAATTTGTCTCAAATGAGGAAAGACTTAACTATTCATATAAAATTTACGCATTTACACTCTTCATCAAAAAAATACAATTACGACTATCCTAGGTATCCCTTCCAAGGTCCCAGTCAACTGATTATTGATTCCGTTTATGCGGTCTTGATTGTGTAAACATGATGATCTATCTCAAGCTGTCTGCTCTATTCTCTTTGCTTGTTTTATATCTATATAATAATTAAATACATTATATATAATAAATAAAAACATTATACTGATCCAAAATCCATCATTAAACCTACATTACATTAAACATACCCTACATTGCGGCTTTTTAAAATAGGGGATGTGCTCGGAAAAGTGGTCCGATCCAAACCATTTTCAGTAAAGTTCGTCATTGGGTCAAAACAGGCCTGTCTATCGAATCTCAACAAAGTATCACCAAAGATTGCGGTCTGTAAATTGAACACAACAACGTAAACGGACAGACGGACAAGCTTTAATTCAGCTTAAAATTACTTTCTGAATCGATCAGTATTATAAAATGTGTGCCCTTCTGTATGTTGTTTATATCCACACAAACTTCATATATCGCTAATACCGCAATATATGTAGGGTATAAAAATTTAAGTGCTTCCAGCGAAGTCATATTAAAATGGAATGCAACAGATTCAATGTAAACCTTCGCAGCTACGTAGTGTGCGATCAACTGAGATATGTACGGACTGGTTTAGTCACTTATGAAGTCGCGAAGCCAACCGCAAGCACTCAACCACATCTTTTATAAATGTTCGCATTTCCATAAGTGTTCATAAAGCTAAGGTTTATTAATTTTCATTAGTGTGAGCACTCAAGTGTGAGACATATTTAGTCAAAAATTTATTAAAACCTCCGCAATTAGTTTAAGGAATTTTATCAAAAATTTAATTTCCATTTGCTTCTTTTTTAACTAATTTGTTAGATAATTTTTCATTTATCTTACCCAATAACCAACTCTCAAAATAACTTCTCTCGCTCCTCACAATTGAGATTTTTGTCATTGGTATTATAAAGTCTACTTATGGTAGTTGCTGAGATAGATTGATCAAGCAATTGCATTGTACATTACCGTTTGATTTTTTTTGAACAAGTCTTTGATGCCTTGATAACATATTTGCAAACGATTGATTGCTACTTGTTTTTTGTCGCGTTTCTATCACAAAAAAAGAAATTATCTAATTTCCACTTAAATTTCATTTCTTTCTGTTTGTTTTCCAAGAAAAATATTTTAAATAGGTTTTCACACACATACGTGCACCTCTTTCTCTTAAACCGGTGGATAAAGGACGACATAGATGACTTCTCGGAACTTTCATCCCATTAGAAAGGCAAAATTTTATAAAATATTATGAAAATGAATTGACAACCAATTCCTTAATTTGTAACATATCAGAACATGGGAGTTACCAGGTAATAATTAACCAAAATAGTATATAAATATGTAATGTAATGTATAATGTGATATTTAGTATCGGTTTATTAGACGTCTTCTGTAGAATGTCTGTGAAAATAAATCGTTATCGATCTGATCAGGATTTCTCAATTTATATATTTGTGTCACGGAGCACAACCATTAATTAAGTTCATTAGAACGTAATTACGATTAAAATCAATACCTCGAACCACTGGGTAGCGCAGTTCATATAAATCAATCTTATAGGCAGAATCTCGGGTAGCTGAGGTAATATATACAAATATTCGATCGTCATACTAATTTTCATTTGATCAAGAGCTAATGTCAGAAATGTTTTACGTTAAAGAGTTTCTTTTTGAAAGTATTTGTTGCATATCGTTTGGTTTATATAATTTTGAAGAACTATATTAACGAATCGTATGTTTCTGTACTTATATGCTTATGTGTACACTTTTTCGAGTAGTCTTTCCAGACGATATAAGTGCAAGTGCTTGTGGATGAGTATCGCATTTTGCAACCATGAGAAAATTCCCACTCTTTTCTGGTTACATAAGGATTAAGGAAGAATAAGAGCATATATATACACAATATACCATGTATGTGCCTGCTTGTATGCTCATTCATATAACGGATGTATTGAAGCTCTTACTTTGCTCAAGTGTGAGTTAAAGAAGTCTCATACATATGGAAAGTTTTTTACACTTCGCCTTCAGCATATTTTAAATTGTGTCTGTGTGAAATGTTAACAAATGCGCGGATTTCTCCGCTAGATCTTACTCACTCATTCACATAATGCATAATGCTAGAGCGCTTAGTGAGTGATGCCGCATAATGTTCATTTCATAGCAATAATCATTGAACGTTTACACTTTCACAAACATATGAAAGAAAGATACGCTTGGAACTAACATTGAAAGCAAGCATTATGGCAAAGGTTTAATTACACCCTTGTAAATATATTTGTAGAAAAAAGAGGAGTAAGATGTTGGATTTACCAAGGGTTAATTCTATAACTATATATAAAAGACGAATTTTTAAGACAAGCACCGTTGTTCACACTACTTTTCTAGTGTTCAAAGCAATGGCAACATCTGAATAGCTTTTTAATGGGAAAAGATACAGTTCAAGCAAAGAAATGGTTTGCCAAGTGTTCTTTGGCCACTACTTCATGGTGGCGAATGGTAAAGAAGTAGTTTGCTGATTTTAAACGCGGGCATACACAGTCATGCAATAAGGCGGTGATTGCGGGAATTCGGCATTTGTTCCAGGAAACGTAAAAGAAAGTCCTAAAAATGCTTTTGGCAAAACGGAAAACGAATTTGCGTAAGATATCCGACAGCTTAATGATATCAGACAGCAGCACATTTACTATTTTGCATGAACTTGCGTACACGAGGAAGCGTTTGGTCGCTTTTGACCAGAAACAATGTATTGGAGCTATTTAGGCGATTTCTAAACGATATGTGACAGTAGATCAAATACGCATTTACTTCTTTACTTCAAATCAATAGCCAACCTAGTGCTCTGCAACGGGGCAAAGACATTCAAAGCTGCGAAATACGCCAAAAACGAGTTTAGAAGGCTCATGGCACAGAAGTCTTCGGATGTGCATATGCGTAACATTCGTGGAGTGTCTTGAAAAGGTGAAAAGGAGGATTGAGGATTGCGTAGCATTATCAGTGCGTTTGAATGACGAAATTTCAAAAAGAAAAAGGACCTAATCCTACGACATTATTGACTGATGCACTATAGTGGTTGGTGTATAGACATAATTAGAAAACATCTCGCACCCATCTCGCAGAGCGCGGAGATCTAAATGCGAAACAAACTTTGCCAATGGATGAATAGTTATGATGTCTGCACATTAATTGAAACATTGAACATTTTTCTCAATAATTTTAAAACATCCTATGCTTGCAAACGAGACATTTTTACGTTTTATATTAACATTTCTTTTTTTTAGAATCCAAGGAAACTCTCTTAATATCATCCGAGTTAGCTACGCTTTGCAAATAAGCAATAACTTTAGTTCAAGCTTTGAAATATTTGTATGCAGCTGATGAGTAGTTGAGTCTCATGTAAATAAATCTCACATCAATAGAAGGCGTTTGGCAAAATGAGGAAACCCCAAGTACTGAACCTTGGAATATACAAAACCACCTCGATACGTTAATAAAATTGAATCCGATCATTTGACGACACTATTGCAGCTTTATTTAAAAATTGCTCGTATTTTACTACTCTTGCAATAAAAGCCAGCTAAACCTTCCATGCAGAAACCACTTTGCCTAATTAATGCCCTTAGTACAAGTGACGTAGGAAGAACTTTCCTTCAAGTCGATCCTCTTAAATTGGCTTAGGGTTAGCAATATCCAAGTCAACTGCCTAACTTATAGCAGAATATGGAATTGTACCGTAACTCGCTGAAAGTAGTTGTTAACTTCAGTCATACAAAGCTCGTCTTTTCCCACAAAGATAACTTACTGGTCTACTTTCATTAGCTAATGATGCTAGTCCTGAACACTATTATTAACGTAGTTATTCTTGTATTTGCTCGCTTGCTTGTTAAATTGGAAATCTACAATGGTGAAATAATGAAAGTTTATGTGAATATTACTACTACTCCTATAAGATACTGAGGTTTCTAAGGCAATTTTTTATTACTTATTGCTTCACTTAACAATTTAGGTGAATAAACTCAAGAAACATAGGCGAGTGATGTTAGAAGACAAATTTCATATGCCAGGTAGAACGAAATGTGACATAACATTGCTTGCCTGTACACCGATCTAGTTGCCTGTCTTATGGCATTCGCCACAAAAAAATAATGCATATCTGACAACTGTGTCAAAACAATGTCATAATTTACAAAATGTACACATGTAATTATTCATACCGAGACAGGCTGAAGCCCTTAAACAGGATGTTAGTAATATTTTGCAATCTGTCAATGGAGAAATTTGCAGTTTTAGATTTTTTACTATATCACAACACAGCTGACATATGTACATACATAAATATATGAACAAGTGTTACGTAAGCAAGGTAAGAATTCGAAAGAAAGAGAAAAGAGAGAAAAGAGAAAGCTCTGCGCTGATGTCTCTTAGGCAGATACACATTTACTTGTTCGAATTTTTAAGTTAATCTTCTATAAAATTGTCCAGTGTCTCTACACACATGTTGACATTTGTCATTTCAAATGGCAGGAGAATATTAGAAATGAAAAGGATGCTCTATATGCCTCTGTAAAGATAACTTGACACGTAATGTTTACAATTCCCTTATAGTTTATGAACATATTTACCATTCAAGGCTGGATTGTAATGTTTATTCCATAAAAAGATAAAAAAAAAACATATATTTTTGCGGAATGTATGACTTTTACTCGACTTCACCATATCCATCTGCCAGGTCAGTGTTCGCCGGCTTAAATCTTAGTCCGGGAAGGTTTACGTTGGCGGTGGCTATAGAGAATGCTCAGCCCATAAATGCCTCCGTCTTCCTATACTTTTCCGCCTTTCTTTCTCACCATCACCGTATTACATGTAAAGGAGACATACCCTCGTTAATCGGTCACATATATAAAAAAATATAAAAAACATAGTTAAAATGAAACCTTTCAGCGTCAGTTTCGTTTCAAAGCACAGCTGGTAAGGCATGACCGCAAAGAAGAAAATGTCTTGTGACTTGTGATGTCTCTGTGATGCTGCTCCACAATGGATGAAAATGACAAAAATTTATTCAAAAAGACGAAAATATTATTTGTTATTACATACATCCAGAGGAATGGAGTGCATTTTATGCATCACATTTGTGTTATGAATTCCTTTTCTAACTTATTTCTATTTTGTGCTTAAAGATTTTATATGTAGGTAATGATGTTGTTAAACAATTTTCTATTAAAATGAAATGAAAGCGAAATTTGTAGTGTATATACAGGAACGAGAGTTCAATCATAATATTCAAACCGACAAGACCAAATAGATCGCCGAAGAATTGTAAATAAAACCTATGCCATTCTAAAGATCCCGCCCTATTCAGTGGTATGAACGTAAGCTCCATAGTAGTGGAATGAAAACGTAAAGGGCAGTTTGATAAGCATGTATTAACGTGGAAGTAATTGAGATAAGAAAAGTTTCCTAAGGCAACAACACATGCGAATATTTATAAATTAATAAACAAAAAATTATCATTTATCTCAATTTTTAGACTTTCCAAGAATAGGCATAAGTCAATTTACACAATCTGATCAAACTTTTGATATGCAATTTCTAAATGAGATAATTTGAATAACAAAATTAGTTTAATTCACACTTAGATAGTGTCTGTAATGGCAGCAAAAACACATAAATGCGAACGACGGCCCACAAAAGCTGATGCTAACTGCATGCGCAAAAGTAAAACAACTCGACAGAAGCCAATAGCAGGCGCATACATGACACAAATAAATGCGGCACATATTCGTAAGGGACGGGCACTCTGTAAATGTGAATTGACATGTGGAGAACTTGTGACAGCAGCAACGAGATGAAAGTTTCCTCTTTCATCTTTCTTCTTCTTATCAAGCACCAATTATCGCATTTTTTGCGCAGAAAATTAAATATACATTAAAGCGTTCATGTTGTAAAATAAGATAAATACTTGAACAGCGTGCTAAAGCGTATCCTCCACTTTAGCTTGTTCTCATAAGCGATCGCCTACGCGTCTATATTTATTAATAATTAAAAAAAAAAAAAAAAAAATCCAAACTTCATTGACGAAAATTATCGACACAATTGTCATCGAAATAAACCGTTTACTTTCCTTGATTGCCACACCTTCCAAGATAGTTATGTATGGATAATATTACTATTTCCTGCAGATGCTTATTTGCTTTGTGCATTCCTAGCGATTCTTAGATATATGAAAAATATTCCTAGCGCAAGAGAAAGAGGGAGAGATATATGTAAACTTTTATCCCCAAGAAAGTTATTCTACAAAGTTGTCAAGGTACAGGACAACGAGGCAATATTTCAGTCATTACTACGTTAATCGAGTGGTATTTTCAAGTTATGTGACAGAAAAAAGCTTTTTGTGAAACCATCGGGGCATGGTTTATCTATTGTAAACTTAGTCGCGATATCATTCTCTTCATCGACGGGCAAATGTTCAACCATTCCACATGTAATCATCACTTATACGTAATTAGTAAAATAGACACCACGTCGTGCGCGTATACCGCATTCTGCAATCTGCAGACCGAGGACGAGTTCTCGTGTGTCCGAAACTTGCCACATCTCTTTCCAAGTCCATGATTCGTAGACTGTCCCAATGCAGTCTTCGCGTCACGCTTAATATACTACGTTGTCTTCTTCTTTTCTCGCTTAAAACATTCAACCGAAATTAATAAAATAATGCAAGGAATCGCGATCAAAGTACGGATCTGTTCGAATGTTACGTACATTTCGCACTGCATATTGTTTGAGTCGTTTGTTAAGCCTTGCCGACAACATGACACCGAGGCCAGTCATCACTCTTGTTACCGCCTAAAAGCATGCGCAATGTAAAAAAGAGCTGTATATACGACAAAATTGTTTAGATCTTTGACCATTTTTTCTATGCCACTCAACGGACCACGTAGTACTCTTTCATTCACTCATGAATGGTTAGTAGAAAAACATCGAAGCTCATATTTTGCTTTAAAATTCTCATAATAATTATAAAACGGAATTTCTTTCCGCTGACAAAAAGGGTAAAGTCTTTAAGTGCTTAGATGCGGAAAGACAAAACTAAGAAACGTGTGCACATACACGCCAACATATTGATAACCATGAACTGTAATATACACAGCAGACGTGGAGAAGCAGAGTTGGGGGACCAATTATGTAATACGTATGAAATACTAAGAACATATTCTAACCTTATGATTATTGTTAGCACAAGTGTTAGCTATGATACAATAATTTCGGGAAGAGCAATGGAGTAAAATTATGTTCCTTAAGTGCGTATTCATATGTTGTAAGTTTATGTGGACATATTTCATCTCTCTCTCTATATATATATTTATATATCTAGTGCATGCATTTATGTTAGGTAAAATATTTATTTTGAAATGTTAAATTTACTTAATGTATTTGTGCATACTGCACGTATATGTATAATGATACATTTTTCTTACTTCCGTAAATATATGAAGTACTCACTTCAACACTACATAATTAATTATATACATGTATGTTTGCTCCTGCAAACCGCATGGGAATGTGTGACATTTGTATTACGTAAGTAAATATGTTAACACTCTGTTCTATGTTTGTGCGTGTGTTCGAGCAAACTTTTAAGTGGTTTTTGAATTTTAAATACAATTTTTCGTCAACGGAAAAATATGTATATCACAAAATTCCCATTTGCGAAACATAACTTTTTTATGGTAATGTTGACCCTGCACTTGCCATCAGATGTATATCTTATCTCTTTTTAAGCCTAAACTTGCAGGTGAAAGGTTGCATAAAACAGAGTTGAAAAAGTATTCGAACGGAAGAGTTTAAGTCAAACATCAAGCAAAAAGCAATGAATAAATCTTTTCATAACCAATAAAAGTCGATAAGTTATTTTCTCTTCTTACATTATATAATTTGTAAACTCAACTCTGTGTTAGTAAAAATGGGGCATTACGCGTGGGAGCAATGCGTCTGCATTACTGAACAATATCTCAAAAATAATGAAAGTTTGGTTGCCACAGCGCGCGAATTATACATAAAATGTGGTCGGAATATTAATTTACTCGGGTCATGTGGTTTAACGCCATTAGATTACTTTTGAAGTGCGACAACCACGCAATCCGTGTGCAGAAGGGAGGGATTCAAAGCCATGGAGATGGTTCATTCGATATGCTATTCCACACAAACCCTATCCTATATGCATTGTGATTCCATATTACAATATTACAATTAATAAGAAGTAACAGCGTCTTCTATTTAATTCAAATCGTGCGCAAGTGTCTGTCACATAACGCAAACATGGCATCACCTTCAAACGATACGCATTCAAATTTCATGACATTGTCGCAA